TTTTTTTTTTCAGTGCGCGTTTCCCGAATCCTTTGATCTTTTACATGGAGTTTTTGTATCAATTTTGAGATTTTTAGATTGAAGGTTCCTAGGTTACTTCTTCTTTATTGGTTAGCTGAATTGCGTTAATTTGTTTTTGATATTTGGCTCGGAACCATTTACTTGTTGGAAAAACCTAAACATTGTTGTGATTCAAAATTTTAATTTTTTCCTCTTGAAGTTGTTTTTTTCTCTTTTATTAATTCTCAACTCAATATAGTATGCCGAGCCAGAGCTTTGAAAAGCTTCGAATTTTAGAGGAGAATTAGATATTCTGATGGATTTAGTATAGCAGTGAATACGATAAGTGAATGTGCTCTTATTTTTCACCAAATAATTCTTTTTTTTTACCTCTTATGCTGTTAATTGGCTCGAGGTAAAGAAAGTATCAGATATGGTTTTGCAGCATGAAGAGGACCATCTTTGCTGCATTGTTTGTAATACAAGTATTGTTATCCCTTTTTGTTTTGTTGGAAAATGAATTAGCAATTCTATGGCGGGAAAAAAAGAGTTGTGCATTACTAATCTGCAAAGGAAGTCTGAAAGAATAAAGATGGAAGGGATCGTGTCAGGCATTTATAGAATTATATTCTTTTGACTTTTTCATCTTCTTAGTGGGATTGATAACATTGTCCCCATGAATATGTCTGGTTTTTTACTGTAGTAATTTAATGCGAACTTTTATGTTATTTATTTATTTGCTGATTGATAATCTGAAGTCTTTTTGAAATATTTATTTTTGAGGAAATGATTCTGGTTGTCCAACTAAGAGTTACCCCGCTTGCTTACAGTATTTTTGGTTGCGTCACTCTATTCAAGGTCATTGACATGTATTATGACACCTACTTGATCCCAGCGTCATGATGCAAAAATCCTATAAAAATGGTGGAATAATTTCGGCCTTATGTGGAAAATGGAGGTCTTGAAAGACTTGATATTTTCTTGAAAGAGTTAAGAAATCAAAGCTGGGATTTGGTGAGGATTAGGGCTTCTAAGGTTTTCCGATGTAGAAGCTTTAATGTTTTGAGGTATGTGGGAGTTTTGGGTCAAATCCTACATCGGATAGTTGAAAAAATTTGTTGGTGTTAAAATATCAAGGTTTGCTCTCACCCACATATTTAAATTTTTGGATTCATAAGGAGTTTAACTTTGTGTACCAAGCCCTATTTCAACCGTTCTGTTCACATTCCTCAAAGAATTTCTAGAAGAGTTGAAGATTTAATTAACAACAACTTGTTCGTGCGGTTTGTGGCTACAATGTTTGCTCTCACCCACAGATTTAAATTTTTGGATTCATAAGGAGTTTAACTTTGTGTACCAAGCCCTATTTCAACCCTTCTGTCCACATTCCTCAAAGAAGTTCTAGAAGAGTTGAAGATTTAACGAACAACAACTTGTTCATGCGGTTTGTGGCTACAATGGGTCTTTTGTGGTTGGGTAAGATTTAAAAGTCGGCGAGTCCCATGTCAGCTTCATAAAGTCGAGGGTTTCTTTGTGCATTATGTTTGATGATATTGAAAAGTTTTTATTTGAGAGGCGGTAATTGTTGATATAGAAAGGTCTTATTTAAGGATAATTTTATTATGGCATGTGAGAATGTTATATTTAATCCCATATTGGGTAGCTGAAGAAATATGTTGGTTGATATAGAGAGCTTGTATGTTATGGTAATATTATTATGGCATGTGAGCATATTATATCTAATCTAATTCCACATTGGATTGTTTATAAAATATGTTGGTTTTGAAATATCAAATAGTTTGCCTTCACCAATATTCAAGCTTTTGGATGGTCTAGTCATATAGGTGAATCAGACACTATAAATACACAATGGTGTTTCGTTGGCAAAAAAAAAATGTCAGTAAAGCACTTAAATCAATTTGGTAATTTGGCTTTTCAATAGATTTTTGTTTGTTGAAAGTATATCTAATGCCTGAAAATCTAGTAGACAAAAATCACTTCAATTGAAATCAATTTTTCATTCAAGTAAAATATTTTTATACATTGAAGACTACTTAATTATGATATCCTGCATTATAATATTTAATATTTTCTCGAATAAGTTCACTGCTTATTTCTTATTTTATTATACATGCAAGACCACTAACATGGCCACTACCTATATAACATCACCACTTATAAATATTTTTAAATCAATACAAACTATTTCTTTTAAAAAAAAAATTTAATTCATTCTAACTATCTTAATCATCACTAAATAAATTATAAATTAATTTTCTATAATCACAATAAATTAATTTTCTATAATCACAATAAATTAATTTTCTTAACTAGCTTTTTAAAATACCACAAAATAGTCTTTATGATCAAATTATATTCCCTTTTTAAATAAATTTTACTGAATATATGTAATATTGATAAGGAAATAATAACACATAAATAAAATTTATTAAGCATAGACAAATATGAAGCATAAATTGAATATGTCAAAAGATAATGAAAATACAATAACTACAACAACAAGCTTTAATCCCACTAAGTGAGGTTGGCTGCATGAATCCTTTTTCTACATTTTGTCCTGTTGAGTGGCATATTTTTATTTAATTCTAACACGTTACGATCATTTTTTAGACAATATGCCCAAGTCTTGTTAGGCTTACCTCTGCCTTTCTTAATATATGTGAAATCTAAAACATCTATTCTCCTAACAAGATCATTAGATAGTCGACGTTTAATGTGATCAAATCATTTAAAACGACTTTCTTTAATCTTGTTCGCCACTGGAGCTACACCAACCCTATCACAGATATATTCATTTTGTATTTTGTCTCTACGTGCCAAGACACTCATCCGCCACTGAAGTTACACCTAAACATTCTCATCTCAGCAGCACTTAACTTTGTTTTATGCTTCTCTATTAAAGGCCAACATTTTGTGCCATAGAACATTATCAGTCTCAACACCATCTTATAAAAATTCTCTTTCAGTCTAAGTGGTACTTTTCTATCACATAATAGACTCGATGCATTCCTCCACTATAACCAACCAAATTGTAGACCCTAGATTTCTAAAACAATCACACCTTTTAATGATATGATCACCCATAGTTCCAACTCCGCCGCTAGAGCTGTTATCATTCAGTTTTAGATCTACTGACACGAAGGTCATTAGACTCCAATGTAGATTTTCATAATGCAAGTTTTTCTTGAACTCTTTCTTTATTCTTATCCACGAGAAAGATATCACTAGCAAAAAGCATACACCAAGGTACATCCTCCTATAAGTGTCCAGTATGATCATCCATAACTAAAGCAAAAAGAAATGGGCTTAAAGCTGATCCTTGATGTAAACCAACAAAAATAGGAAATATTTGGTCAATCCTCCTATTCAAACACAAGTAACAGTTCTTGTATACATTTCTTTAATGACTTGGATATAAGTTATATCAACATCTTTCTTCTCAAGAACTCTCCAAAGGATATCTAAAGAAACCTTATGGTAAGCTTTCTTAAGCATAGACAAATATAAAAGATAAATTGAATATGTGTAAAGAGAATAAAAATACAACAGCAACGACGACGACGATAAGCCTTTATCCCATTTAGTGGTATCGGCTACATGAATCCTTTTTCTCCATTGCATCCTATTTAGTGACATAATTTTTTTAATCCTGACATATTACGATCATTTTTTAGACAATTTACCCAAGTCATTTTAGGCCTACCTCTACCTTTTTTTAATATAAGTGAAATCTAAAGCATCTATTATCCTAACAGGATAATCAGATGGTAGATGTTTAATGTGATCAAATGATTTAAGATGACTCTCTTTAATCTTTTCCGCCACTGGAGCTACACCAACCCTATCACGAATTTATTCATATTGCATTTTGTTTCTACGTGTCAAGCCACTCATCTGCCTAAACATTATCATCTCAACAACACTTAATTTTGTTTTATGTTTCTCTTTTAAAGGACAACATTTTGCACCATAAAATATTACTGGTCTCCGCACCATCTTATAAAATTTTCCTTTCAGTCTAATTGATACTTTTCTATCACATAACATGCCCGATGCATTCCTTTACTTTAACCAACCAACTTGAATTCTATTAATAATATCCTTATCTATATCACCATCACTTTTAATAATAGACCTGAGATTTCTAAAACAATCACACCTTTTAATTATTTGATCACCCATAGTTCCAACTCTGCAGCTACAACTTCTACTATTAAAATTACATTCTATGTATTTAGTTTTAGATCTACTCACACGAAGGCCTGTAGACTCTAATGTAAACCTCCATAATTCAAGTTTATCTTGAACTTTTTCTCTATTCTTATCCACAAGAAGGATATCATCAGCCAAAAACATAAATCAGGGTCCATCCTCCTCTAAATGTCCAGTAAGAGCATCCATAACTAAAGCAACAATATATGGGCTTAAAGTCGATCACTGATGTAATCCAACTGAAATAGGAAAATATATGGTCAATCCTTCTTTTGTTCGAACACAAGTAACAACTCTAATATACATATCTTTAATGACTTGTATATAAGTCATATCAACACTTTTATTCTCTAGAACTCTCCAAAAGACTTCTCTTGAAACCTTATCGTAAGCTTTTTCTAAATCAATAAAAATCATATGTTGATCCTCCTTATTCTTTTTGTACTTTTCCATTAAACCTCTCAATAAATGTATAGCTTTCATAGTAGACTTGCCC